TACAAAATGCCCAAGTATATAGCGGCGGCATACACAATGCCCCAAATCTATCACGGCAGCATACACAATGCCCCAAATATATAACAGCAACATTTATAATGCCCCAAATCTATCATGGCGGCATACACAATGCCCCAAATATATAGAAACGGCATAGACAATGCCCAAAATCTATCACGGCCCAAATATATAGCGGCGGCATACACAATGCCCCAAATCTATCACGGCGGCATACACAATACCCCAAATATATTATGCTAGCGAAGAAATATTCTAACGCTCCAACGCCATAGTATGAGGCTACGCCATCACACTACATCAAAAATCACTTATTAAATAATTTAAGCTTTTTACAATATAGTATATATTTGCGGCTGGTCAAAGACCACCGATTCTGCCAAACGCATGCTCATCCCAACACATGGACCACGCAGGAAAAAAAATATATTTTCAAAACGAGTTTTAGAAAAGCAAGCATCAAAGCTTAAAGTCTCACTTACCTCGCTAACGGAAAGTTCCCCAATATTATGACTTTTAGAGCACCAGCTAACGTGCCTCCAATAGCCTGAATCTGAGTACTAAATTTTGAGTTGACGAACTATTCACTTCTAGCTCCTGATTCCCTATTACATCAACTTTGTGGAAGACCCGTTTGTTTCCTTATTATTTTCAATTGCTATTGACTGCGCATTAGCTAATTACACAAAACCTCATTACTGTTTCTCTTTAACAAAAATCTTCAATAGATAGGCCATCAGAAAAATAAATACGGGCCTAGTCCACTTCTTCAATAATACTTATTGTCTCATTTATTTTATTACCCAATTAACACATTGTGGTGACCCAAAAGGTCATCACTTGTTTTAAAAACAAATTCAGTGTTCCGAGGCCTAAAAACCTCCTTTTTAGCTTGCCTCGATTTGCGTGCATGGTCCAGAGTTAAAATATTATTATGGTTGACTTTAGTAAACATTTTGAGCAAATGGACCCGGATCTGTATTCTGACGATCCCGGGAGGTCCCTAGGAAAATATGGGACTTGGGCGTATGCCCAGCATCGAATTCCGAGGTCCCAAGCCCGAGAAATAAATTTTTAAAGAATATTGTTTTCTAGAAAATATATTAGTTTTTGGAAATGAAATGTGTTTGAAATTTGATGGTATCCGGACCGTATTTTGGTTCCGGAGCTCAGTACATGTCTTATATGTGATTTTAGTTGAGTCTGTGAAATTTGGTAAGAAACAGACTTGAAATGACGTGAATCAGACCTTATTTGAGAAAATTGGAAAGTTTGATGTTCTTAAGTGATTTTATGATTTTGATGCTAAATTCATAGTTGTTGATGTTATTTTGGTAATTTGAATGCACGAGCAAGTCCGTATGATGTTCTTGGCTTCGTGTGCATGTTTGGTTTGGAGCCCCGAGGGCTCGGGTGAGTTTTGGATAGGCCACGGAGTCAAATTTGGACTTAGGAAAAATGTTGCAGGTTGCAGGTCTGGTGCTTGCCTGCGATCTCGCAATTGCGAGATCAAGGATCGCAAATGCGATGTCTGAGATTATGGGATTTGCGAGGGGCCCTTTACAATTACGAAGTAGGCCCTGGCCAGCCTTGCTGGCAATTGCGAGCACTCCTTCGCAATTACGAAGTACTCAGACTGTTCAAGGAGTCGCAAATGCGACAGTAGCTTTGCAAATGCGAAAGAAGGAGTAACTATCAGGATTCGCAATTGCGAACCCATTGTTGCAAATGCGACGTTTAGTGATTTTTCCCAGGGTCGTAATTACGACATATTCTTCGCAATTGTGAAGATAGCAGGTCCTGAAGGGGTTCGCAATTTCAAACCCTCGTCGCAATTGCGACTTCAGAGACCAGTTAATTGGGACTTAGACGTATATTCAGCCATTTTTCATACCTTCTCAAAACATAAACTCTCTTGGGCGATTTTCCAAAGAAAATTTCTTCTCCAAATCGATTGTAAGTTGTTTCTAACTCGTTTTCTTCAATCTTTAACATCTTTTCACATGATTTCAACTCAAAATCAACGGTTTTCATGGGGGAAATTGGATGTTCTGAGTAAAACCTAGGTTTTTCAAATTTTGGGGATTTGGACCTCGATTTCAGGTCCGATTTCAAAACAAATCATATATTTGTGTTCGTGGGTAAATGGGTAATCAGGTTCTGGTTCGAACCTCGGGTTTTTACCATGTAGGCCCGGGGACGATTTTTGACTTTTTGGAAAAAACTTTAGAAAACTTATTTGCATGCATTAGAATTGATTCATTTAGCATTTATTGATATAATTAAGTAACTTGTGGCTAGATACGAGCGAATTGGTGGTGGAATCAAGAGGTAAAGCGATAGTTGAGGCTTGAATTATGTTCGAGGCATCGAGGTAAGTGTTTGGTCTAACCTTAGCTTGAGGGATTAGGAGTTGTGTCCTATTTGCTATGTGTTATTTGTTGAGTACGACGTATAGGCATGGTGACGAGTATCTATACGTTGGTGTCAAGCATGACCGTAAGTCTTATATTATTATTATTATTATGACTCCGTTTGTATTGTTCATGCCTTTTTGTGATGTCTTCTATTGTTGGGCAAAGTTTTTGGAAGTAATGGTGATGTTTGAACATTGAGGAGCATCGACTCAACTTGTGAAGTGAATTGTGAAGGAATAATTCGCAGTTGAACCTTATAGAGCATTAGCACAATTTGTGAATCGAGTTGTGAAGTAAATGTGAAAAAGGGAAGAGGATTATGGTATTGTTCCCTTGCCGGGACGTTGTTGCTTTTAATATTGTTCCCTTGCCTGGATGTTGTTGTCTTGATATTGTTCCCTTGCCAGGATTTTATTGTGATTCATTTAATTCCTAGCCCTTATTGTTTGTGATTGTTGTTTGGGTGAGGAAGAGTGTAAAGCACGAAGGGTGATGCCGTGCATTATTTTTGTGAGAGAGTGTTAAAGCACGAAGGGTGATGCCGTGTATGATTTTCTGAGGAAGAGTGTAAAGCACGAATGGTGATGCCGTGCTGCACGATGTACCATTCTGTGCCGATTATATTGATTTTATGGTGAGGATGAGAGTAAAAGCACGAAGGGTGATGTCGTGCAGTTTTTATTGATTCTTATGGTGAGGACGAGAGTAAAAGCACGGAGGGTGATGCCGTGTATAATTTTGTGAGGAAGAGTGTAAAGCACGAAGGGTGATTCCGTGCCGCACGATGTACCATTCCGTGCCGATTATATTGATTTTAAGGTGAGGATGAGAGTAAAAGCATGAAGGGTGATGCCGTGCAGTTTTTAGTGATTCTTATGGTGAAGACGAGAGTAAAAGCACGAAGGGTGATGCCATGCACTTGTTTGATTTCTGATTCTTGTTGATAATTTAGTTGTGGTGTTCCCGATATTTACCTGGTGTCCTCCTGTTGTCATTTGATGTTTCCCCGCAGCATGTTCTCCCCGCCATCCTTTACTGTACATTTCTGCTTTTATTTTTCCGCTGTATATAATTTAACTGCACAGGTTTATTTGGTAGTCTGGTCCTAGCCTCGTCACTACTTCGCCGAGGTTAGGCTAGGCACTTACCAGCACATGGCGTCGGTTGTGCTTATACTACACTCTGCACTCTTTTGTGCAGATCCCAGTGCTGTAGATTATGGACCGCAGTGAGATTATTGTTTCGCGTTCATCAGGCGACCCGAGGTAGTCCTGTAGGCGTCCGCAGGCCTTGGCGTCTCCTCGTAGGTATTATTCCTATTTTTTTCTTGTATTTCCAGAGACAGTGTTGTATTATTTCTTTCAAACTGTTATTTGTAGTACTCTTAAACAGTCTGTGAAGTTGTGACACCAGTCTTGGGTAGATTGTTATGGATTGATATCGGTAGTATTATTGAAACATGAAATTTAGTCTTCCGCCTGTTAAATTGTGTTGTTTATTAATTACTGGTTCTTAATTGATAACACCCGATAAAAAAACAAAAAAATGAAAACAAGGTAAATAAGTCAATTTTTGGCTTGCCTATCTTTCACTAGCAGGCGCCATCACGACCCCTGAGGGTGGGAAGTCCGCGTCGTGACACACATGTGATAAATTAGGCCCACTAACTATTTATTTAGTGCACTATCTTATATATTATAATCAATTTTTTTTACTAGCTTAGTACTCTTTCAATAGCTACAAAATAAATTAATTTTCTAGTCTCATAATTTAATAAGTATAAAAGAAAAATCGGGTTATTACATTCCTCCCCACTAAGAAAAATATTCGTCCTCGAATGTTAAGCAAATTATACCCTAGAAAAGAGAGGTATGAATACTTCATCGTTACACTTATCTTGTCTTTTCATATTTACACTACATATGCCTCGTGTAACGCATTTTGAAACTTATTAGCAACTATCATTTTCTCAAGATTTAGATTCTCTACTCTAGTGTCTTAAACATAGTTAGATATATTGAACACTTTCTATTCATCTCATGTAAAACCTTCATTAAGGAACTTCCTTGCCCATGGAAATCGTGAACACCTTTCCATGTAATTCTAAGAAAACAACCAATTAATATCATTTACCTGGAAATTGTGCATCACATAGTACGACAGCACTCAGTTCATACACATAGTAATATCAAAGTCAGACATTGGCAACATTAGTAGAGTCACTATAGTGTCCCTTCACTGAACAAATAACACACATTTTCTGTATACTCTATCCACAAATATAGTCTCTCCACTAGGATCGTCACCACGTATGGCACATTAGGAGACTAGACTCCCCGTTCCAAATTTAAAGCTAAAGAAAAGGACACGGACGAATACCATATGGACAATCATAATACCTGTCACTACCGCGTTAGGTGCCTCAACATCATGTCTAGTCATTGTAAAGAATCTCGGCGGCCCACCCGCTTCCTGAACACCTTTTGGGGCATCCTGTAGAGTTGTTCTAGCTGGTTCAATCTGAGTCTGCGTGGCCATAGCAGTACCTTATGGCTGTATAGTATCCTAATTAGTACCAGAGTTACCCTTAGGACAATATTTAGCGATATGCCCCTTTTCTCTACAAGTACAACAACTACTAGCTATACCAAAGTGACGACCATAGTGGTTCCTACCAAATGTATTACATCTCAGATATTGTCCAAATTTAAATGAAACGTTATCCTTCCCTTGCATCTGTTGCTGACCTTGCTTTACCAAAAACGTGTTCCCAGAAGACTGCACCAATGACTCTGACTGAGTAAGCCTGGACTGCGCGCAGTTAAAACCTTTCTTGCCCCGAGATGGAACTCCACTAAATCTGCCGGTGCTACGTGCCCTTTTACTTTCTCGCTCGGTCATGTCCCTCTTCTGATAGGACTCAAAACGTAGAGCAGTGTCAACTACTTCTTCGTCGGAACCACCTCGAACATCCCTAACCACCGGGCCACGATATCGATGCTCAAGCCCATCCACAAATATTTTCCCCTTTTCATACTCATCAGCAACTAGAAAGTGTGCATACGTGGATAACTCAGTAAACTTAGCCTCATACTCTGTAACTGTCGAAGTGCGTTGGCGCAATTGCTCAAACTGACACCTCATGTTTTCGCGTTTGCTCAGTGAAATGAACCTACCCATAAACATAGTTGAACACTCTGACCAAGTAATAGGTGGCAACCTTGCTCGTCTACCTCTCTGAACAGAATTCCACCATGACTCTGCGGATCCTGAAAATAGAAAAGTAGCAAATTCCACTCCACGAGTCTCCTTCAGCCCTAATGTAGTTAGTATTTTTCACCACGCACAATGAACTTTTGAGGATCAATAAAAGCCTGTGTAGAATCGAACTTTGGTGGCTTGAGATTCATGAAATTCTTAAGATCCTTAGACTTCCCTGTATTTGCAACTGGCTGAACAACCTACTGATGGGCCATATGAGGAGCTGCAACATTCAGCTGGACCTGTGCTTGCGTATGCGAAGTAGCTTGGCGAGCTGGAAGTCCATCTTGAGTAGGCACTAATTCCTCTAACACATTCAACAACCTCGCCACTGCGTCTGCAGGTAGAGTAAAAGTAGGCATAGCAACTAGCACTTATGGTGGAGCATCATGAACCACCCGTTCTTGCACTTGGTCTGCCATAGCAGCTTGGGGTTGACCCATATTTACAACTTCAGGCTGAGGAGCGGCATGTCTTCTAGTCTGTGCTCTAGTTTGATAAGCCCCAACTTTACCACCACCAGGGGTATTACCATGTCTAGCACCACGTCCAACAAATGAGTGTGTGTGTGTGACCTTGACCATCTGCGAAAAAACCGCTTCAAAGTCAAACTCAAGTTATCTAAACGCACGATCAAGGAATGAAAGAAGGGAAAACATCCTAAATGCTTAGTAGCCTCAAGTGCATAAGTATGGGCGCCTACATACCCATGAACAATACTCTACTAAACACTACTCTATGTCCTCGGACTTAAAGCCTAAGCTCTGATACCAAATTTGTCACGTTCCAAACTACCCCCTAGACGTGACTGGCACCCAGCTAACACTACTCGCCCGGCGAATCAATTCTTCTACTCTTAATGCTTTTATTTAAGTACTGAGAGAAACACTTACAATTCCAAATGCATTAAATATCACATAATACGAAGTAATTATCCAACTAAAACCATAATTTATTTATAAATTCTAATAAGCACTCAAACAATGAATCTCTAACCCAAATTTCATACTAAGACCATGGATCATCTAACAGAGTAATTAGAAGTTTGCGATATGCATGCAAACCCAAAAGAAATAATAAACATAAGATAGGTAGAGCTAAAATAGCGGCCTCCACGAACAATGTGGCGGCTCACCTCAGCAACAGAATCCACTCAACGAACTCGTTAGCCACTAGCCTCGTCCTCAGCAATAGTATCTGCATTGACATGCAGGTAAGGAATGAGTTATACGTAAATATAACCTAGTAAGATCCTCGACCCACCACTTTGAGTACCCCTAGAACAAGCGTTAGAAAAATACAAACATACAACGAGTGGAGAAATAATATGCACATAAATCTTTCACCATATAAGTACTCTATAAGGTCCAAACAATTATTCAACAACAATACAATATATATCTCAATTCAATCTACATTAAGGACTTGTCATTAACGGTAGTGCGGGAAATTAACCAAACACCCTGACGAGTCTACGACAGCATACACAATGCCCCAAATCTATCACGGCGACATACACAATGCCCAAATATATAGCGGCGGCATACATAATGCCCCAAATCTATCACGGCGGCATATACAATGTCCTGAATATAGCAGCGGCATAAATTCCCACAATCTATCACGATGACATACACAATGCCCCAAATATATAGCGGCGGCATACACAATGCCCCAAATCTATCACGGCGGCATAAACAATGCCTCAAATATATAGCAACGGCATACACGAAGCCCCAAATCTATCACAGTGGTATACACAATGCCCCAAATATATTACGGCAGCTGAGGAATAATTTCTAACGCTCTAATGCCATAGCACGAGGCTACATCATCACACTACACCACAAATTACATATTAAATAATTTCGGCTTTTTACAAAATAGTATATATTTGCGGTTGCTCAAAGACCACCGATTCTGCCAAGCGCACGCTCATCCCAACACATGGACCAGGCAGAAAAATAACATATTTTCAAAACGGATTTTAGAAAAGCAAGCATCAAAGCTTAAAGTCTCACTTATCTGGCTAACAGAAAGTTCCCCGATCTTGCTACTTTTAGAACACCAGCTAAACGACCTCCAATAGCCTCAATCTAAGAACTAAATTTTAATTTGACGAACTATTCACTTTTAGCTCGTGATTCCCTATTATGTCAACTTTGCCGAAGACCCGTCAGTTTCCTTTTTCTTTTCAATTGCTATTGGCTGCGTATTAGGTAATGACGCAAAACCTCATTACTGTTTCTCTTTGACCTAAACCTTCAATACATGGGCCATGAGAAAAATAAATACGGGCCTAGTCCACTTCTTCAATAATACTTATTGTCTCATTTATTTTATTATCCAATTAACACATGTGATAATTTAGGCCCACTAACTATTTGTTTAGTGCACTATCTTATATATTATAATAAATTTTTTTTACTAGCTTAGTACTTTTTCAATAGCTACAAAATAAATTAGTTTTCTAGTCTCATAATTAATAAGTATATAGAAAAGAAAAATCGGGTTATTGTAATTGCTTGTTCGTCTAGATGACGTCCTTCCCTTTTTTGTGTTTCAATATTTTCTCATCAATCCATTCATTTTTCTTGATACCATGAAAATTTCTTCTTCAAGAGCTTCTGGATCATATCATTATCGTTTCCAGGTCCTTACAGTTGTAGTTTTGAAAGTAACTGTTTTCTTCTTTCCTCCTTGACGCGTTTTCTTGAGATGGATTTTCTCAAATGCTATGAGATCTCCTCGTATTTTATCATATGAAAGTATTTCTAGATCTTGAGATTCAAGTGAAACTACTTTTTTCTGCCATGTGATAGGCAAACTTCTTAGGATTCTTCAAACTTGATCACCACTTGAGTAAGGTTTACCAAAAGCTTTCATATCGCCGTTGATTTTGCTAAATCTTGCAAACATTTGCTCAATGGATTCTCCTTCTTTCATCTGGAAGAGTTCATAATCGTGAACCAACAAGTTTATCCGAGTTTCTTTCACTTTGTTGGTTCCTTCATAGGCATCTTCCAGTTTTTCCCACATTTCCTTGGCGGTACTACAACTTGAAATTTTCTCATACTCTTCTCCACTTGTTGTATTATAAAGCAAGTTTCATGCCTTAGGATTAACTTAAATAACGACCATTTGCTCGTCTATGTACTCATCAATATCTTTAGGATTAGTAGGTGATTGTCCTGCTAGTGGCAGTGATAATATTCCTTTGGTAGAATAGCCTGGGAGACACTTGTACTTGTTCCGGTTTGTCATCCCGGTTCCTACACTCTATAAAGTTTCACCCAGACACTCCAACTTAATCAAAACAAGACTTTTAAACCCTTCTGACCGTTGACCGAGCTTATGTGGCATTGATATGGCTGAGGTGGACAAAATGAGTGATTTACACGCATATTAGGTGCGTGAGCTGATGATTTTTCTTTATTAAAAAAATAAAAATTAATATATAAATAAATAAAATACTAGCAGTGATTCCCTTTTGTTCTGCCGCTCCCCTCCTGCATCCCCCCCCCCCCTTCAGCCCTTCGTTCCGCACCCCCCTCCCCCTCTTCTTCTTCAGCCCTCCGTTCTGCCCCCCCCCCCCCCCTTCCGTACTGGTCACAACTCCATCCTCAAATGTTCACCGAGACGACAACATATCACTACTCAGCCAATGTTAAAAATATAAAAAGCTTGAGTCTATAGCTCCAACAATATAATTCTGCTCAGTTCATTCAATCCCTCTTGTTGTTGCTACTGTTCTTATAAGCACCAACTTAATAGCATTCTAATTTTCAGAAGCCGAGTCATAAGGATTTAGTACAATTTATGCTAACAAATAAGGGTAAATTGGTGATTAACTCGGGCTGTTATCGCTATAAAGAAACACAGGACCTTAAAGCACTGATGGTCCTGGTTTATTTAATTGTAAAACTATACAAAGAAATTACTCACTAAAAGAACTCATAATATGTACATGATATCGCCGTTTATGTTGAAATCACCATATTTTTCATGGCTAGATAACTTTCTTTAAAAGAGAAGTGAAGGAAGTAGTGGTACTCATGGTGGAGGAACCATGACACGTGGGTTATTGTTTTAAGAAGGTTTGGTGGGTGGGTTTGAAGAAGGGAGGAGGGGTTTTCTTTAATTTTAATATTAATTTTTTCCTTATTTTATTTTATTTTTTGCTTATGAAATTAAAATTTTGATAAATAATATTATTTTGGTATAGAATCTGATGTGGATGCTGATTTGTCATCCACGTCAAGCAAGTGAGCATCACACGATTCCGGAGGTGTTTAAAAGTCTTGTTTTGATTAAGTTGAAGTGTTTGGATGAAACTTTATGGAGTGTAGGGACCGGGATGACAAACCGGAACAAGTACAAGTGTCTCCTAGGCTATTCTGCCTATTCCTTTTGATAACACGCCATACTTTGACATCATATGTTACATCCCGTATTTTTGTACATAGCAGTACATCATAAGTTAATTGATGTAAGCTCAGAAATGAGATCATCTTTGAAATTACATAAAATAAGTTAATAATTTTACTTTAGAGGTTACAAATATTAAAGATCATGGATAACAATTACCAAGAGGGTTGGAAGGCTTAAAAGCTAAATGAATTGAAGAAAATAAGTTTCGTCAAAAGTCGACAAGTTGGGAATGTTATAATGTTTTTGGGGTGAGACTAGGGTGCCTAACATTATAAGGAGGTTATGTTATGAGTTATTTTAGTCATATGATAGTCGTGTGTTAGGTTTTGGAGGCAAGCAAGTTGCGGAACAAAATTTGGCAAAGGTCATCACAAGTTACATTCGTAAATGCGTTGAACATTAGGTCAAATATAGCTGAGCTTTTCTCCTAATGATTTGCACTCTATTTTGCACTAGTCAAAACAAGATTCAACATGTGGTTTCTCTGTTATTGATGAAAGAGAGTCACCACCTAATTTTTAAAGGTATACTAGGGGACCTATTTAATTACTAAGTCATATTCTTTATCAGTCTCCGATGAGATTATGGGTAAGAGTTCTTGTTCTTCTAAGGGAAAGATGTTAGACACCCCTTAAAATCTACGTGAGGTAGCTCCATAGGACTTAGACTAGATTTGAAATCAATTATTTGTACTATGCCTTAACTAATACTCTAAGGAGGTGTCTTACCGTATATTAGTACATAATTCTTACAAGGGGGGGGGGGGGTGTAGTTTAAAAGGTTATGAATTTGTAGAAGAAAATAATGTTAGTGCATATATACTTGAAAAGAGCTTTGAAAGAGTATATAGGGTATTTGTATTTAAGATAAATATGTAAAAAGAAAAACTAAATTAAAACACTTGTTCCTAAAGAATTGAGGTGCGTATTGT